CTTCTGAGAAGCCCTCGTGAGAAGCACCTTTAACATTCATATTCTTCCCAACAGTCTGTTTAAAGCAACCTATGCTTTTTCTATCATATACATCAATATTCTTCCCACCTCTACACATGATGTAATTCCAAAGACACTTCTACATTTTTGAGTATTGTTATAGCAGTCCCCGACTTCCTGGTACCCAAATCTGTATTTTCTTGCTGTGGTTGCTGTAACAGAGTATTCCAAATGTGATCACTTGAAACAACAGGCATTTACTCTCTTACTGTTTGGGAGGCCAGAAGTCCTAAATTGAGGTCTTGGCAGGGCTGTACTCCCTCTGGAGCTTCTAGGGGAAACCTTCCTTGCTTCTCCCAGTTTGTGACTGTCATCATTCCTCGACTTGTGACCAAGCCTCTCTCTTCTCTATCTTCATATCACCTCTCCCTCTGTATATCTAATCTACCTCTACCACTTTCTTATAAAGATACTTGTGAAGGCATTTAAGGCTCATCAGCTTATACATAATCTCCTCATCTCAAGATCCTTCACTTAATGACATCTGTGGAGACCCTTTTCCCAAATAAGTTAACATCAAAGGTTCTAAGAATTGGGACCGGGACGTATCTTTGGGGAGTCACCATTCAGCTCACAACACTATTTATTGCACAAAAATGTACTTTTCACTTTTTAAAATGCATCCTTGGTGCTCAAGTCAAACTCAGTGTTGTCTCTAAAAGCCATTGTATGCACAGGCTGCTGCATGCTTTGATGTTAAATGGCTGAACAGTGTATTCTAAAATTCAGTTGATACTTACTACAGCAAATTAGCTTGAAAAAATAATTGGTTCCAACTATGAGCTCTGGTGTATCTTTTCTGCCCCTTTTATGGAGTCTTTGACCAAATATTTTCTATGATTAATAATGTAGGTATAAAGCTACCTCTGATACAGAAGTGTTCTTTACAAGTTTATTTTACATATTGTGAATCGCTTAACTGAAAAGAGAGGTGACAGCAAAGCCTATTTGAATGGATATTGAGGGAGATTGTACCCATACCAAGACACTCAGAAGAAGTATTTCAGTAGCAGAACTATGGATTCATGTTCTCGTTTTGCCTCAGAATAAATGCCTGTCTCTTTGCAGGACCAAGAATGACTTGCAATCTATCTGTAATGCATACTTACTTATTCAATAAAGCTAAGATTACATTAAATGTTTTACTGCCTATGACAATTAATATCAAGGATGGCTGAAAAGGTACTAACTGAAGTATAAAGGCAGGATGTAAGAAGAATACTCCAGAAGGGGAAGCTTCAACTTAACAAAAGTACCAAAGTATTTCTATAAGGACCTGGTCAGGTAGAAATCATGGAATATATTCAAAGACACACATACCTGTGGGAATCATAAGATTTTCTCTAAGTATTCTTGAGCACTTCTTGCCAGAGTAGTGGAGAGATGTTTGCACACCTTAAAAGTGCAGAAAAGTCAGAAGGGTGATTTACATCCTCCAGAGAAACTGTTTCTACAGAGGGTTTTTAACCTTTATTATACAATGAAAGTAAATGGACTTCAAATGCTCAGAGGGGTAAAAATCTGGAATTAGAAATAAAGAATTGTAAATAATTATTCTCCAGAGGGCTTTCAAAAGAATCTCTCATCGTAGGTGGGCTGACTTGAAGATGAATGGTTGGACAAAGTAATAACCAGGTCTATAAATGATATGGTCCAAAGTACCTGGCAAGACCATTGTTTCCCTTGGAATGGTTTCCTCCAGGACTCAAATATATTAGTTTTTTCTCCTGCATTGACCCAAGTAGGCAAACTCCTTTGTAGGGAGTCTGAAAACCTGAGTATCCACAACTAGGGGAATTTGGGCTCAAAGGAAAGTGGAAATCTGGAAATTGATATATATGCAATGCAGGTAACTGGTATGTAATTTTGATTTATAGTAAAAAGAAAGCAATAGCCAAAGAGCCCATTTACAGACTGAATTTATTTAGATGTCTAGAGTCCCAGTAGCCACAAATAAAATGTTATTATAGTTAGTATTCATTTCAGGGAAAAACAACTTACAAATTCATGAAATGTACAAATTATGACTTTGTTCCTAGTTCTTGGAGATTAGCCAGAATTCAGACTTTAGCCATGATGACCTTATATCTTGGCTAATAGAAGTTCAGCCAGTATTCTTACCTATATTTTGGCTGAGGTGCAGACAATATTTTCACCTTTTGATGTGTATGAGTAAAGCACAAGAGCTCTTATCATATTATTAGAAATATTAATAATAAATGTTCACCTTCTCTACTTCGCTAAATCTCCAGTGTGGCTATTCTAATCATCAAGTGCCCATTCAATGGACACTGCTTTTCAGGACACAATTATGAGTTAAACACACAGCCTTCAGGGATCTCACAGTCTAATGGGAGATGGGACATGTACAAAAAGAACTGGAATTCAAGATGGAAAAAAAGCAATCAGTGTCATAAGAGTGGTACAGATAAGGCCTAGGGGAGTTCAGAAAAAAACAATGTTATAGAGATGAGGTGAGGTGGGTATTGGGGTGGAAAGCAGGTATCAGCATAGACTTTTGGGCACTGGTGGCATTTGAAGTGAAATTTAAAAGGTAAGTAGATTGGACATGTCAACTTTTTATTCATTCAGTCAAAATTTAATGAGCACCTCCTGTGTGCCAACCACAGTGCTAGGCTCTGAGACCCTAACAGTGAATTGGACAGACACAGGCCCTATTCTCATGTGTATGAGCAAAGCACAGGAGCTCTTATCATATTATTAGAAATATTAATAATAAAACTTCAACTTCTCTACTTTGCTAAAGTAACTTAATTTTTTTTTTTTTTTTTTTTTTTTGAGGAAGGAGAGAAGGCATGAGCAGAAGTACAAGCTTTGATGTGCAAATGTAAAGAATGTGGAACAATTCAGGTTGGATAGAGTGTAAGGTCCATGAAAGGCAGCAGTGGTTGTGTGGTTTGCGCTTGATTTTATAAATGTCAGGAAATACTGAGAGATTGGGAAGATCCCCTGGAGAAGGGATGGCAACCCACTCCAGTATTCTTGCTTGGCGAATCCCATGAACAGAGAAGCCTGGCAGGCTACAGTCCATGGGGTTGCTGAGAGTTGGACACAACTGAGCAACTAACACTTCACTTCTTTGAGGAAAGAAATAACACAGAGCACTTCAGGAAGATGGTGCTGGAAGCTGTGTGTAAGACAGCAGGAAGAGGTTACATAAGCCCAACTTTGTTGGAGGCAATTGGAAAAATACTTTTTTCAATAATACTTTTGATAATTAATGAGTTCGAACTAGGATAGCATCAGTGGGACAGACCCAAGTAGCATCTCAATAACTGGCAATCAATTAGATGTTGAGGGTATGAGCAGAAGAAATATCAAATCTGACACCAATATTTCAAGCCCGAGTAAAAGTACTTGAGTGTACTTTCAAGAACAACAACAAAAATTGACACAAGAAGAAAAGCTCATCTTTGCAGTGATACCACAGATATGCACAGCTACAGCTCTGACACTTGATATGACCCCATTATTGGTGGTGTTGAATGGCTCATACAAACCTCACATACAAGTAGCATCAAGTCATGAAGACATAGAGCAGAAAGGGAAAAAAAACCAATTCCACACAAGGACATTTTAGTGACCTTACAGTGATTATGTTAACAAGGGCCAGGGTAAGCTCTCTAGGCTATGTTCTTTTCTTTCCTTCTTTTCCCCTTTCTTTTCCCCTTTCCAACCCCTTCTCTTTTCTTCTCAATAATACTGAAAGTCAAAACATTGAATGACTGTTCAAAGAAAGGAAAAACTGACAAAAATTGAGTGAGTATGAAAATATCCTGATTCAGTTTTGGTCTCTTGTGGGAAAGAAAGGCATTTGAATGAAGTATAATTTATGGGAAAAGCTTTAATTAGTTCATAGTTAGGACTTCCTAGTGTCTGGTTAATATTTTAAGTCATACATTTAAGACTTTCTTGAACAATGATTACTTGCTTAAAGAACAGCAAATTCTACTGTTTTCTCAGGAATCTCTCAGTCTTTTAAACTCTACTCAGGTCTATTCCCTTTATGCTAAATACCTTTCTACTCCAAGAATCATGACTTCCCTCCTGAATACATTCAACTGCTGGGTACATGTGATACTGAATGGCTTTTATTTTAGCTAATTTTTGTTTTGTTCTAGAAGGGGACCTGGTTTTTTAATCTGCTCCATGTCACCTTCACCCCACAAACATCTTGTGTTATTGTCCCTTTGTTTTCCTCCAGGAACCTGAATATCACAGTGAGAATTACATCGAAAATAACCAAATACTATGAATTTCTTCTTTGAACACTTTTTGGAAATATATGACATATAATAACTGAGTGACATATCTATGACATATAATTGATATATATATATATATATAATATATATATAATGACATATAACCTATGACATATAATAGCTGTCACCTAGACCTGCTGACAAAAATCAAGTAATGAGCTATTTACCCAGCTATGGTGGTGCTGGGGGGCGGGAGCAGGGGAGGAAATGAGATGAAAGGGGTCAGGAATAAGGCCCCCTTAGCAGAACTCAGTATAATGATAAAAATCAAAGCATCTGTTAGATATCAATGACCTTTCAACTCCAGAGCATCTGGGATAAAAAGCTGACTTGCTGTGACCTTGTATTGTGTGGTGTTTTGTACTTTTGAAAGGACTTTCACTTTTCACATCCATTATTCCATCATCTCATTTCCTCTTAGTCTATGAGCATCCTGAAGTCTCCTCTATCTGATTAAACCACAACAGCAACCTTCCCATGAATCTCTCTCCTTCAAGGCTACCATCGATCACCTCATTGCCAAATCCTATGAATTTCCCTTTATCCTCATCCTGCTTACTTTTCCTCAGTTTGGCACAAGGTCCACCTAGGCTTGTCTTCTCCCACCACTCAGAAAATTCTTCCCTCCTGTTTATTAGTGCTATCTTCACGTGAATGCTAAATATAGGCAGTAGCTCCAGTATTCATTTGTATTCTCCCACAATCAGGGTTGTGGTAGCCATATCCATGGCTTTGACAATTTCCCATGAGCAGATGACTGAAATCTCATCAGAACCCCAGAATCACCTTCCCTCTTTAAAAGATAACTCACACACTAAACTCAATATGTGGTATGTACGTGCTCAGTCATGTCCAACTCTTTGCAACCCCATGGACTGTAGCCTGCCAGGCTCCTCTGTCCATGGAAATCTCCAGGCAAGAATACTGGAGTGGGTTGCCATTTCCTCCTCCAGGGGATCTTTGAACCTGTGTCTCCTGCGTTGACATGTAGATTCTTTATCACTGAGTCACTGGGGAAGCCCCAAAGTTCAGTATATTCCCAACCAAATATGTTCTCCTCCAGCAAGGTGATCCTTTTCTCCAGGCTGCCCGTCTCATTATGGGTAATACACTTCTCCCAGTCTCTAAGGCTAGAAACACCAGAAACATCTTTGTGTTATTTCCACTCCCACAATATCTAGTCAGGCATAGACGTTGATCTCCCTGGTTTTGGTCTTTTACCTCTTCAACTCATCCTTCACATTGCTAGAGATTGCTTCCTAAAATGCCATTCTTGATCCACTTCAAAAAATTCAATTGTTCCCTTTAATTAACAAAACTATTATAGGTGTCAAAGTTTCCGGGAACAGACTCAAATGTAACTTTCAAGCCCTTTCACCATTCCTCCAGCCATGCTACACTGGATTTATCACTGGAGCTTGCCAATGTTAAACAAACAAACATATGATTACATCCCCAAATGTGTATTTTCATTCATGCCATTTTATGTACATGCAATTTACTCTGACTGGTATGACCTCATTGTCAAACCTCACTCTTTTTCTATTAATCCTTCAAGTACCACTGCTGCCTTTCTGAAGCCTTCCTTAGTTCTCCCTTCCTCGTTAAAATAAATTGTGTTATCTACGCTCCCACAGCAATTTGCTCATACTCCTATTATGGCCTTTATTTCATTCTGCCTTCTACTAGAGTTAGTTGTCTGTGTCCTTGACTAAAGTGTAAGTTTCTTGATGGCCATACTGTCTCATTCATCTCTGGGCCTTTACACAAAGCAATTTCTCAATGAATTAATGTACAGTGTCAACTCTCAGTAAATTAAACAAATGAAAAGTGATGTTTGGTACAGGTAATGGAAAATCATAGAAACTACCATAGCTAATTTCCTCATCCAGGTGAGAACTCAGCCTTCATTAATGTCCTGGGAACTGAGGGCCTGCCTAAGGTCAGCATCAAGGACAAGCTCCCCCAAATGTGGATGACTGGAAGTAGATTTCAGAGGAACACTTTCAGGAGCTGATGACTGATTGAAGACAAGGAGGATGGCTTTCTCTCCAAGGTCAAGCTTTTAACAAGTATCTGCAATGTACGCTGGGGGATTTGGCTGTACTCCAATTATGCTAATATGTTTTATATATGGGCTTCCAGCAGCCAGGAGCCACCTCCCTAAACAATTTAATAAGTGTAAATATCAAGGCAGAGTTGTAAATGTGGAACTTATTTGTAATGTACCAACCTTGTTATTATCAAATGTCATGGGGTATAAGTCATGGCAATTATGCTGCATGCTTTTTATTACATTTATTTTACTTTTTAAAAATGCAGTATATCCCCATAAGCTTTCCTTCTCCTGTGCTGCCTAAGTAACCTACCCTGGCTGTGTGTTCTGGAGTCACAGAAGGCAGGACCCTTAGGGTCAGAGGATTAATGGGCATCCTGGGAGGAAAGGGTCATTGACTCCACCCACTGAAACTGTAGCCTCAACCTCAGCCTTCACTGCATGTATCCATAACTCAAGCTGTGGGACCTCATGAGTTTCTCAATACAAGAGCATTCATGAGGTAAAATACAGAACTGTTGCTTCTTCCTCCCTCCTACCACCTGAGCATGTATGTATGTCCCTGTCATGAAGAGGCTGGCAGTTTTATACAAAGTCTTCAAACTCTTGATTGCCAGCTTGGTGGGATACAGTCCAGAGCCACCTCTTAAGTGGTTACTTGGCAGATGAAAGTGAAGGGAAGTAGGTCTTATTTTTTCCTTTGCTTTGGACCAGAAAAGCATCCACTATACCCAGCCATAATTTCTATTTCCCACTCTCTTTCTCTCCCCCTCTTTTCCACTTCTCACTAAATTGCAACAACCACTCAGAAGGAGGGCAGGTGACTTTTTTTTTACTCTCCATGACTAAGCATTCTATGGCAACAGTCCTCTTTTCCTTCAAAGGAACTCTTCTAGTTTTTCTGTGTGCTTCCACAGGCTTCCCTGGTATTAGGCAGGAAGCCTGCCAGGCCACAGGTCTGTTGGCAAGTGAATCTGTTTTTAAGGGTTTTGAAACATGCTAGTGCTTTCAAAGTTTCCTTAAAAGAGAAGGATTAAAAAAAAGAGTTAAGAAAAAAAAAAAAGAGTTGCTGATCTTTTCACCCAGGAGTTTTTTTAGGAGCTTTATCTCTGCTAACCACAGCATCCCCCTGCCTTTTCAGTTTATGATCCAACAACCAGGATAACAATAAGCTATTCATTAGTTCATCACTTATTCCACAAATATCCATTGAGCAACTACTGTGTGACAAGTGCTTTGTAATAGTGAACAAAAATAGATGGGATTCAGGTCTTCATGAGCTTACAGTCAAGTGGAACCTGACAATGATAAGCAAATCTATGATGCCTATGACAATTGCATTAAATGCCTAAGAAGGAAAGAATGCAGATACTATAAAAGAAAATAATGATTTATGTTTAGGAGGGGAGCCTAAATTAGACTGTGTGGTCAAGAAAAGTCTTTGAAAAAGTGACATTTAATTGAAGACTGAAAGGATGACAAGTTAATCAGTTGAAAAGTAAGCATATGTGTAGAGTCAGTGTAATGGAAACAAAACACAAAGTCAGCTTAGGCTAGTTTGTACTACAGTTATAAACAACCCCCCAAGCTCAAATACCATAGCAAAGGGCCCTGCAGCTGCTACAGGTCATCTGTTTCCTTCATACACCTTCATTATTCCAGGATCTCAACTAAAGGAGGAGCCCTTCTTTGGGACATATCATTCTTACTATAGAAGGAAGAGAGCACAAAAGACTGAACCATGTCATGGCTGTTAAAGCTTCTGATTATAGGTGACAGAGATCACTTTGGCCCACGTTCCATGGGCCAAAGCAAATTCTATGACCAAGCCCACATTAGTTTGGCAAAGTTCATGACAGGAGACAGGGACACTCTCTCTAACAGGGAGGAAATATTAATACCTGGAAACAATCATGCTGTGTACCATAGCGCTTGTCTGAGTTCCACCTCTCCCCTTTACTAACAGAAATTTTTGACATTTTACTTAACTTCCAGTGTATCAGCTTCCTCATTTCTAAAACAGATGTTTAAAACAACTGAAAGGAACTTAAGACAGTTTTCCCAGGGTTGGGTCTACCCCTCAATTTAGGCAGCAGCTTAGGGGAACTGAAATTGTATAATCTAGAGTCCAGGGTTTTCTCTGCATTTTCTCCTGGCAATTTATTTCAAGCACAGTGATAGAAAGCAAGTTTCGGCATGCTACCTTGGTCACTAACAAGCTGTGTGATCCTGGCCAAGAAACTTAAATTCATTGAGCCTCTGACTATTGTAAGTGTTATGTAAAATAATCCATGTGAAAGCATTGTGTATATCATAATGCCATACAAATACTAATCATTATTGTAATTATTTGATTGCTTTGATCACCTCTACTAAGACCCCAAAATCTGTTTCTCTCATACCCTCACTGCTACATTTCAGTCAGCCACCTCAAGCTCACTATGTCAAAAATCATCTTTTCTCTCAGGCAACTCCCATCTGGCTCCCTTTCCAGGCTTCATTATGTTTATTATATGCACTAACATGCTTCTAATCACCAGATGCAAAACTTCATGTTGTCTGACATCTACACCTCCACTCAGTTCTATCAATTCTCCCTTTGTAATATAGTTTATGTGGCTGTCTTTCTGGTTTCAAAGCTACCACCTAAGCCCAGACCCTAGTACCTCATTCCTTGTTACTGTCATAACTATTCTTCCTGCCTATACTTTCACCCCTGTTCAAAGCAGTCATTTGATCATCAATTTTTTCCACTCCAAGCCCTTCAGAGGCTCACCAGTGAATACAAAATTAAAGTCCAGGAGGACTTCCCTGGTGGTCCAGTGGTTAAGAATCTGCCTTGCAATGCAGGAGACACGAGTTTGATCTCTGGTCAGGGAAAAAGGATCCCACATGCCCCCAGAGCAACTAAGCTTCCGTGCCACAACTACTGAAGCTCACATGTTCCAGAACCTGTGCGCCACAACTAGAGAGCCCACAGGCCACAACAAAAGATCCCACATGATAGAATGAAGATCCTGCAAGCCGCAACTAAGAAATCTGCAAACTAAGCGGCAAACTAAGATAATCTGGCTGCAACACAGCCAGATTAAAAAATAATAAAAATAATAATAAAGTCCAATCTCTTTAGCTGAGCAGCCAATGCCCTCCACAGTTTGGCCTGGGGCACTTCTTCCAAACTTCCCACTCACTCTTACCTGTATACCCTCTGCTGTAGCCATACTAACCTAATTCAACACTCTCTAAAAATCTCCATTATCTTGATTAGTACTGTTTAGCAAACATCTAATGTAACTCACAGATGTAGTTTTACATAATCTAGTAGATACACTTATAAAAAGTAAATAGAAACAAGTGACATCCTTTTTAATATATTTAACTTAACCTAATATATCCAAAATACTATCCTTTTAATATGTAATCAAAAAATCATTAATGAAAAACTTTACATTCTTTTTCCTTACCATGTCTTGAGTATTTCCTTACCAAGAAACCCTTGAGTATTTTACACTTATAGCACATCTCATATATGCTAGCCATATTTCAAGTGTTTGGTAGTCACATATGGTTGGTGGCTACTGTATGGACCAGTGCAAATCTATCCCGTACCTCATGGCTCAAGGCAAGCTCTGTTCTCTGCTTGAAATACCTTCCACTCAAACCCCAAATCACCTGTAGAAATGATACTTTCCAAAGATGCAGCTTCATAGCCCACATGCTCTCAGAAGTCTTCTCAGATTTTCCAGCTGGAATTCATCTTTTCCTTCCCATACTCTCATACACATTATTTTATAAAAAAAAAAAAAGTTAATGAAAGTAGGTAATATTCATTTATTTCTAAAACTCAAAGGGTGCCAAAGGATATGCATACAATTGACACCCCTACCAACTAGCCACCCTAATTCTCTCCCCTAGAAGCAATCAATGT